GGAGAACGGGCTCGGGGAGAGGCGGCCCCAGCGCGTGCGCTGCAGGGAGCGCTCCCTCTCTCTCCGCATCCTCGCCCCCCCAACCTCTTTCTCGCCGGGACCTCTGACCTCGGGACTCTCCTTAGCCGGGAACTTGCAGAGACCCCGTCCCCGCCCCACCCCCAGGGAAGCCATTCGGGCGGACCGCTCCCCGCACACACGCGGGCAGAAGGGGCCCGGATGGGTCCTCGGCGTCCGCCGGGTTAACCGGGTGGCGGCGACATACGTGACGGACAAGGGCTCCCTTCAAAGGGCGAAGGAGGACAAGGCCCCCAAAGCCACTGCCCCCGAGAGGCGAGCCCGGCAGAGGCGGGGCCCGCTCCCACCGGCTGTGCGCTAACACCTGCGCCCAAGGGACCTCTCCCGGTACAGGAGGTGCCTAACGGCGCTCCGCAGACCTCCCCACCTGCCCTTCCGTGACTGAACCGGCCGGCGTCCGTCGTGTTAAAATGCCTTCTCCCTCCCCCATCTTGTATGTCCAACGGTGACAGTTGTGAAATTCACCTAAAGAGCAAAGGCCCAGCCCTCGCTGGCTGGGCTCAGCGGATAGAGCGACGGCCTGCGGACTGAAGGGTCCCGGGTTCCAGCCGCATCAAGGGCAGGTACCTTGGCTCAGGCTCGAACCCAGGCCCTGGTTGGGGGGTACGTTTGGAGGCCACCAGTCGATGTGTCTCTCTCACACCGGTGTTTCTCTCCATGTCGCTCCTTCTCCCTTTCACGCTCTCTAAAGGTCAGTGGGAAAATGTCCTCAGGTGAGGATTAACAATAAATAAATAAACAAACAAACAAGGGCCAAGCGCCGTGGTGTCTGCTAAAACCTGGACTCTGGTGCCTTCAGCAGAGGGCGCTGAGTCACACACAGCGCAGGGAACTCATAGGCCGCTGCGGGCTCCCACCTGCCCAGGCCCCGTCCCTGTGGGCTGCGCCCAGCATCAGGGCTCCCCTGGGCAGGGAGGCGTTTCCTGAGGCAGCTCCTGGCAGCTCCCTGCAGCCCGCACCTTCCCCGGGTTACATCTATCTCAGCCAGCAGTGTCCTCTCTCACGCAAACCCCGGGTCCAAAGAGTCCCGACCACTGAACCATAACCTCCGGGAGGTCCGCTCTGTGCTTGACCTGCTTGCCCTCCCATAGTCAGGGATGAAATGACACTGAAAAGCAAAGGCAGGAAAGTGGCTCCTCTCCCGCTCCTGCTGGAGGCAGGACAGCAATTTCTCTGCTGTTCATATTCCCCCTGAGGACCGGGCCCAGCCCTCGGGGACACAGGAGTCACTCCCAGAACTGGTTTTCGAAGCAACTGCAGGCACACAGACCGAGACTGAGGAAAGGGTGGTTCCCTCAATGCAAAATCAGGCCTGGCTCAGGGGTTCAGCATCGGCCCATGAACCAGGAGGTCACAGTTCCATTCCTGGTCAGGGCACGCGCCCGGGTTGTGGGCTGGATCCCCAGTTCGGGGCGTGCAGGAGGCAGCTGATCAATGATTCTCTCTCATCATTGCTGTTTCTATCTCTCTCTCCCTCTCCCTTCCTCTCTGTGAAATGAATAAAAACACCTTTTTAAAAAAACGAGGGTGGGAAGGAAGCGAAGAGTTGACATCAGCCCCGGGAATTCCTGTGGGAAAAGCTGGGATGCCACTGGGTGGGGGTGGGATGCTGCGAGTGAACTGACCCCAGCCCAGGCCCCCCCCCCACACACACACACTGTGGCCCTGGTGCCCCTCAGCGTACCCGTCCCTTTGGCTGGCTAGTGGGGGAGGCTCAGGAGGTGAGGGACAGCCGGGTGCTCACCCGCATGTAGGAGGCCTCTTCTCCATCCTGCAAGGGGACAGACAGTGAGCTTCCCGAGGTGACCGAGACCAGCAGGAAGCACGCGGTGCACAGGGCCATTCAGGAAATGCGAGACTTACGCAATTCTTCCCGAAGTTGCTCTGAAAAAATAAACAGAAACACACGGACGCCCTCAACCTGTGTAGTTCTCTGCACGTGAGTCGTTGGTAAACAAAGGCCTAGCTCTTTCTGTGAATCCCCCCTCCCCCACCTCTGAGGAAGTGCCAGGTCCCAGAAAGGAGGTAGACCAGGTGGCTGGACTGTCTTGGCTCAGTTAAGTTTGCTTTCTTTCAGCAACAGGGTGCTCTCTGCAGCCAGGTGGGTGGATGTAACATCTGAGGAAGGCGAAAGGGAGCTGGGGGGGAAGGGGGGAGGCTGGGACTCAGAGCCCCAAGCCCTGACAGTCCCGTTTGTCCTCTGTCCCCCAGGCTCCTGCAGCCCAGCAGGGTCATGGGAACGGCAGTGAAGTGCCCTCTTACTCGTTCACTTTTTGTTAGCCGTTCTTTCTCTCTTTTCCCACACGTTCTTGCCCCTGTTCCTTACGAGCCATTTCTTTCTCTTTATTTTCAAGGTCTTTTTCCAGGGACAGAGCTTCTTTTCTCCTGCGGAGTTTCCTGATGAGACAGATGCTGCCGAGGATGATGACGAGGAGGAGCAGAGCAGGCAGGACGACAGCCAGGGCCTCCATCCAGGGGAAGGGAGACGAGCTGGGGATCAAGGGTTCTGGAAGGGGGGCCAGAGAAGTCCCAGTGAGTGAGGCCAGGGAGGTCCGGGGTGAGAACCATCACAGGGAGGAAAATCAGATTTACCCTCAGAGAAGAGGCTCCTACTCCTGAGTTTTGAGAATATTTGATGTTCCCCTTGTGATGCAGGGAGAGGCCTCAGCTCAGCTGCTGCCCCAGCTCTTCAGGGCCCAGGACCCTCCCACTGCGGCCCCTCCCCCAGCCTCACTGGGGCTCCCCTCTGTCTGCTGAGGACCCTGCCCTCATGGGCTGGGCCCCCAGAGGGCAGGGAGCGAACCTGGAATGAAGATCACAGAGTCCTTCTCCTGGCCGAGCAGCGTGTTGTTGACGGAGCAGGACATGTTCCTCACGGAGCTGTCCACGATCACGGCCAAGGTGACCGTGAAGAGGCCGTCAGCATCCTGGGCGTAAGCCTCCTCCAGGGCAGGCGTGACCTCACCATACGGGTCCCTCCACACTGCGTGGGGCTCGGGGTACCACCCTTCCGACGTGCATTCCAGCCGGATGCCCCCATCCTCATGGCCCTTCATCTCAATGAGGGGCTTGGAGCCCAGGCCTGGGGACAGATAAATACGTCTAAAACCACTACTTCTGAAGCACGTTCCTGGTAAAGACGTTCAGAGATCTCTAAGGAGCAGCATCAGCACTATCTGTGGGGTTTAGGACGCATGGAACTGAGCATCTCGGAGGGAAGGGGGGGAGGGCGGTGGGTGGGAGGTGATCAACCAAAGACCTTGTATGCATATGTGCATGGCCCACGGCCACAGACAATAGGTGGTGAGGGCCTGGGGTGGGGAGGGGTGGTCTGGAGGGGGTCAATGGGAGGAAAAGGGGATATATGCAATATTTTCAATAATAAAGGTTTCTTAAAAGCTGTAGGGATTAAACGTTCTCCCTGCTCAAGGCTCCCGCTGTGTTCTGTGTGCTTCTCAGGACTCCATGCCCACAGCTCAGCAGCCAAAGCCACTGGTTGGGTCCTGGGGCAGGAGGAGGCTGTCCTCCGAGGTTGAAGGGAATTCTAGGCAAAAACCTACTGGACGGCTTGACTGGCGTGGCTCAGTGGTTGAACATCGACCTATGGACCAGGAGTTCATGGTTCGCTCTCCTATCAGGGCATATGCCTGGGTTGCATATGGGGGGCGTGTAGGAGGCAGCTGATCAATGATTCTCTCTCATCTTTGATGCTTCTTTCTCTTCCTCTCCCTTCCTCACTGAAATCAATAAAAATATATTTTAAAAAATATATATTAACAACAAAACAAAAAAACCTACTGGGCTGCCGGGGGCCTAAGGTTCAGTGAGTTGCTCTGTGAAAAAGCCACCGAAGGGAGTGACACGACGCACCTGCCACCACCAGGCGCACGGTGGCCTCGTCGTAGGACCTGCCTCGCTGGAAATAGCAGCGGTAGACGCCGTCGTCGTGGGCTGTGACGTTGTGAATGACGAGGGCCACCCTCCCCTTGCTAATGTCCTCGCTCACAAAGGTGGTCCGTCCGCGGTACTGTGCCATCTGCTCCTCGGGCCTCTCGCGCCCGCCCATGTACACCAGCACTGCCGGGGAGAGCCGAGCCCGGCACCACCGCACCTCCATGTCCTCCGCGCTCTTCTCGGGCGACAGGTGGCAGCGGAGCACGGCGTGTTCTCCCACCATGGCCAGGATGGGCTCGTCCGGTCCCACGACTGTAAACTGGGCTGCACGACAGAGGCACCGGCTCAGGGGGGGCACCGGCCATTGGACGTCGAGGGCAGGAAAGTGACAGGGGCCTTACAATCTGGCAGACAGAGCAGCTGAATTAATCGGAAAAGTAATCCTATTATTTTAAATCTTAGAACACAGATACTTATGTGAACAGGGGGTTAAGTTTTTCTTGTTTCCCTTTCAAGCCCTGTGCGAAGTGATTGGGGAGGTGACTCAGCTGTGAGTCCAGGGAGCAGAACCCATAAGCTGGGTCACCAGGAGCCAGAACACCATCTCAGCAACAGCATCTCTGACCCAACAGGAGTCAAAACATCATCTCAGCAACAGCATCTCATTGCCTGGGGACTGAGGACAAGAGCTGACAGCTGAGACCCCCAGGGCTGCACACAGCACCCCAGCCCCTTCCCCTTTGTAGTCCTGTCCCTGCACTTGCTGGGAGACAGGACTCGATGGGTGTAAGCGCCCTGCCTACTGGGTGGGCCGCCTTCTCAGTAAACACCTTATGGGACTCAACCCTGCCTTTGTGATTGGACACAGCGACAGGCAGCTGAGCCCACCTGGGGGTTTCCCGGTAACAACAGGAAGTGGCTCTTCTCGGGGACAGCTACTCCTGGGCTGAGGGGTCTGGGGGCCAGTCGCTGTGGCTGGCTGGAGCTAGGGACGCCTAGTAAGTACCTACCGAGGCGGCTAATGCTTGGTGAACAGAACACAGAGAGGCCCACACGGAGATCCTACAGACCCTGTGCTTAGAGCTGTCCTGTTCCCCAGTGCAGCCCCGGCCTGGGGGGAGGTTGGGACTGGAACTGTCCAACAGGGTAGCCGCCAGCCAGTCCCAACTGAAACCTGCTGCCAGTGTGAAATGCATACACAGCCCTGGCCGGTGTGGCTCAGTGGACAGAGCGCCGGCCTGACCTGAAGGGTCCCGGGTTCCATTCCAATCAAGGGCAGGTACCTTGGTTGCAGGCTCCTTCCTGGCCCAGGTCCTGGTTGGGGCATGTGCAGGAGGCAACCAATCAATGAGTTTCTCTCACATGGATGATGTTTCTCTCTGTCTTTCCCTCTCTCTTCCACTCTCCCTAAAAATCAATGGAAAAATACCCTCCCGTGAAGATTAACAACAACAACAACAATTTGAATGAGGCCCCGCTGGGGCAGCCAGTTGTGGGGAAGCACGGGATTGGCTGGAAGGTCTGTGAGGAGGGTTTTCCGAAAGGTCAGGGCTCTGAGGGGACCTTGCTGAAGGCGGCAGCCCCTACCTTGACTTTTCCAAACAAGTCCGATCCCCGGGGTGTTCTGCTAAAATCTCTATGTTTAGTCTTTAAGACCCGACCTTGTAGAAGCATGTGCTTCCTCAAGGATGCCTACCCTGCTGATTGTATCCAGAGGCTAATTTTAGTTCAAGCTGTTAGGACAATAAAAGCCAACCAGGCAGGCGAACAGGGCTACCTGGTGGCGATAGCCAAGTGGGGCCTTAGCCTCTTTCACAGAAACATGTGTTAGTAGAGCATCTGCTCATCCACCGCTCAGGGTCTTTCGGCCCCGGCAGCCAATCAATGATTCTCTCTCATCATTGGTCTCTCTCTCTCTCTCTCTCTCTCTCTCTCCTCTCTCCTTTCCTCTCTGATAAAGTTTGAATTATATTTTGGTTACTTGGGGGTTATGTGCCTTTGAACTGGAGGTGCTGGTGTGAACTCAACGAATAGGTGCACGAAGGTGTGAGCACACACAGAGGGAAGTGTGGCAGCCCCCACCTGAGACCGGCCTCCACCTGAGACCAGCCCCCACCTGAGACCAGCCCCACCTGAGACCAGCACCCACCTGAGACGAGCGCAGACAGGCCGAGGAGGGGGAAGAAGAGCAGGGGGTTCGGCGGGGAGAC